GGGCGGAGATCCAGTGGAACGGTGGAGGCAGAGGAGGGGCGCACGGGAAGAACTCCCACCTGAGGTGCGAGAGGTGGGAGAGGTGGAGGTACAAGGGGAGTGAAGGAAGTAAGCGAGGTGCAGCATGAGGAAGCGTTGGTGTGAGTCGCCCACGAAGCTGATCTCCCTTATGCCACGTGATGCCAAGGCGGAGACCCAGTGGGACGGCGGAGGAAGAGGAGGGGCGCACGGGAAGAACTCCCACCTGAGGTGCGTGAGATAGAGGTAGCAGGGGAGTGAAAAAAACGTCACGTGAATTGGGTTAGGGTAAGGGCAGCAGGAGGGTGACGGGTTAGGGGTGTGCATTGGCAATCAGGATTCAAGGATTTCAGAGGCGTCAGTGGAGTCGTGTTTGCACAGTCAGTCCTCACCTGTACTTTCCTGTGCTGACATCCAACAGCCAGCGGCCGTGAGAGGCGCCGTGGTCACAAGCTGAACCCAACGCCCCATCAGCCACTGCTTCCCGTTTCGCTGCCTCGGAAAGTGAGAAGGAAGGTTCCTGCTGAACCCGGGCTGCTGGAAGTGTGGTCGAGGGCTTGCTGCTTGGACGGACGGCGAGGGTCCATTGCGCCATGTCGTGCTCATGCGCGTGGGCGAAGGAAGCGGAATAGTTCAAAGAGCCGCATCCGGACCGAACAACCACTCTGTTGTGAAGGGAACGGAAGGAAAGGGTCAGTCAAAGGTTTGTTATCAAGTAATTGGCTTATTTACGTGATTATTCATGTACTTTTGTAGGGGCTGAGGAGCACACTCACTCACTCGTATAACCCAGCGTCCCATACGCGGTATGCCACCCGCCATTTGCTGACGTCGCCTCTCTCAGCGATGACGTCAGCTCGCACGAGCGACGGTCCCACCAGCTGCACCGCCAGCTCGTGCTTGAACGCCATGCCTGGCGGCACCGTCCACGTCGCAGGCCGTCGCACAGCGATCTCGAACGTGCACAGTCGCCCAGCGACGCAATGGCGACATCCTGGTCCGAAAATCACCACGCCTCCTCGGCCTCGGTTTTCATCGCCCGAACGACTAATACCCGTAGTAGTACTACGAGCGGTATTAGCGCTAGCGTCAGAGGTGAAAAGTAGACTATCATCGTCGGGACCGTGGATCTGGTTTGACCACGAGGAGTCGTTTCCGTCATAGCCACCGTGAGCTCCGGACCACCAGCACATAACCTCGCCATGATACGACTCGGAGAAATCTCTCCGCGATTCCTCGCCTCTGTCAGCGGGAAATCCAGATTTGATTTCCTCTGATACTGTGACGCTTGAGACGCTTAGGAGATTGGAAAGCGACACAGTGAGGTCCCGGCTTCTGCAGGGCCATTTAAGCAATGCGAGGACCGCGATCGCTGCCAGAAGGAGTAAGTGGACCGCAGCGCGAAGGGACGAGTGAAAACCGATGATGCCTTTTCTATGGCTTCCCATGGTGCACACGGACTCCTAATTTTAATGTTTGTAGATAGTAATAGCATAACATTCGATGTTTCAAATATTTTGGAGACGTGTGGCCTGCTAATCTTAGTGAGCTAGGCAATGAGCTACGTCAGAACAAGCTAATCTCGATGGAAACGATTTTCGGAAGTTACCTTGATTTTACGAAGTGAGGACGGATCAAGAGTGGCCCTAGAGGTTATCGAGCTCATCGAGTTCATCACCATCAGCAACACATATCAAGGTGCGCAGTTCAGCAGGTTTGTATCACCTCACCTCACCTCACCACCACCACTCCTGAATGCGCCTCGAAAGTTTCAGAACATGTCAGAGGCAAGACAGGCCTGATTTGTTGCGTTGGCGAGGCGCACTGAAAATTTGAAAGGGAGGGAACATATTCGTTATAATTTACACCCTGACTAGATGGTAAACTCCTTATATGGTGTTCAAATACTGCTTGGCATGTATGACTTCTGTTCTGGTGGATGAAACCCTGTGAATGGTATTGCTATGATAGCAGCGAGTTTGATGGCGGTGGCGCTTGTGACGGTGACCGACAGGTTCGGCAATCTCACTGGTGAAGGGCAGACCGCCTTTTGTCAAGGTGGACGGTGAGGAACATGTGGTACGGTGGCACCACCGCGCCTCTTGGTTCGGCAGCCAGGTAGTTCGATACCTGTCTCAGCCTTATTCGATCACACCTCCTCAGCAAGCCTGTTTTGGCTCGGCCTTCACGCCTAGGTGACTCCCCAAACCACCCACCACAGCCTCGACTCAACGGCGAGGCATCTGCTCGGAACGTGGAGTGCAACGAAAGTTCCGCTCACGAGGCGCCACGTTCGCGTTGACTGAGGACCACGACAGAGACATGGACCGCGGTGCGATGAAATGCTTGTCTGTTTCGGACGAAATGGAGAGACGCTGCTTCGGTTCGGGGCCGAACCAAAACATTAACCAACCGAATGCATTTCTCCATCCAGCTCGACCTGCTGTTTCCACTCTCCCCGCACCCACACTACCTTCTCCTCCACCCACCTCAGTTTCCCCCATTTCTTACACTTCAACTTTCACCTCTCGTCTTCGCCACGGTTACGGATGAAGCAGCAATAAAGGCCGCCGCCATTCTTGTGTGCCTGTGTCACTTCTCCAGAGTTTTCTTGCTTGCACGATTTTATTGGCGCAGTCCCGTGCCTCAACCGTGTAACTTCCTCACCCGGACTATACTTTTCGAGAGGAGCCCCAAGTACTTTTCTGCCATCTTTTTCTGTTTCAACTTAGCTCGTTTTCGTACTCCCGAGATTTCAGACGCTCGCAGTCAAACCGCCGCCATGTCGCTGTCAGACTTGTGTAGATTCCTCGACGTCCCTCCTCCATTTTCCACTCCCTCGCCCCGCAATCCCGCCCCGACGATCGGCCGCAAACCCCGCCCGCCCATGCTGCAAATCCCCGACATCACCCTTCCGCCGCTCGCCCCCAAGCCGCACCCTCTTTTCCACCAACCCCGCGCGCCAATCCCCGTCCAGCCCGCCGCTCCGCCTGCCGGCCAGGCCCGCCGGCAGCGGCAGCCGAAAATTTGGGATCTGCTGCCCACGCCGAAAGCGCAGGAAGAGAGCGGCAGTGGGTTCCGCTCGGGACACTACCTCTCCCAGGTGACGCCTGGCTTTCCTCGTCGCCCTAGCGACCGCTCTGCCAAGTGTTACGCGCTTCACGTGCGAAACCAATCACTGTGTGGTAACCAGTCGGGGCTCCGGGACAGTTCTGCTGTCAAGGAGACTGCGAATCGCCCGAACGACAGATTGACGAAGAATTGGAATGGGGTTACCAGTCCACGACAAGGGGTTCACGCTATTGGCGTGCCAAAGGTGCTGGGGAAACTTCCAGCTAACTTCCGCGAAGCTGAGACAGCTGAGGTTAATGCTGTTCAAGAAGCAACAGGAAATGGACACTTCTGGAAGAATGACGAGCATAATAAGCCAGGAGGCTTGTCCGTCTCGGCTCGATTTACCAGCAGCAGGTTAGCTTGTAACGAGGCAGAAGGCGATGGTGAGACAGCATCGCATAACGAGCCAGAGGCCCGCAGGTGGGCTGTGTCTCCCCAGGCTCCCGAAATCGCGTGTCGAGCGGCGGGAATCGCGCTACGGGGGCGATTAGTGCACGCTTCTAAGTCGCGCGATCTCCAGCAGGGGCGAACGCAGCAGGAGAAAATGCAGCAGAGGAGAACGCAGATTAGGGCATACAGGGAAGCGCCTATCTGTGCTGCTGACCTGAACGAACTCCTGACGGCCATCCTTGGTATCTTCTCCGATGCTTACCCTGATAAGCCCTCTAATTCCTCATGGTTTTGGCGGTTAATTTCCGAGGAGGAAGAGCAGGGGGAGGGAGAGGGTGAGGGTGGGAATGCGGGGCAGGAGGGGAAGGCTGCTTCGGGGCGATTCGGGAGCCCTGCAGGTGTATTGGAGTATATTGGATTTGATGATGACGAGGATGATGATGATGATGAGGAGGAGGAGGATTGAGAGTATGAGGAGGACTGAGAGGAGGAGGATTGAGAGGAGGATTGAGAGGAGGTGGACAGTACAGTACGAGGAGGATTGAGAGGAGGATTGAGAGGAGGATTGAGAGGAGGTGGACAGTACAGTACAGCATGAGGAGCATACAGTACGAGGAGGATTGAGAGGAGGTGGACTGAGAGGAGGAGGAATGAAAGGAGAGGAGGAGGAAGAAGAAGAGGAGGAGGACGACGGCAGAAGATGAAATAAAAGCAGCAACGGTGACACGATCGTGAGGTCGTGCCAATAATCGGTAGCAGCTGCACGGTCTAAATGGTCTGCATTCAGTGTGACAGATCTAGGAGCTGTGGGTGGCAATGCTTTCTGTGTTTCCCCCTGACCCAGAAGCACAGGGCCAGTACGTTCCATAATTCTGGGAAAGTTCCCGAATACGAATTGTAGGTCTGGGACTGTTGAATGGCTTTTAGTCAAGAGGAAGGGATAGTAGGGCATGAGGGTGTGATTAGGGCATGAGGGTGTGATTAGGGCATGAGGGTGTGATTAGGGCATGAGGGTAGGGCATAGTCATCCTGTGTGGATATGGCAACCCTCATCCCCTAATCAGGACCCCAATGTTTGTTATTGTGTTGCCTGTAGTATGTGCTCGTGAATGTCACATTAAACTTCTGTTTCTCCACACCCCACATAAGTTCTGGTACCGCAACGCACACAACGCACAGCATACCATATGCAGCACAAGAAGCACAAACTGTCTCTTGATAGTATCGTATCAGGCTGAACTTGTTAAAACTAGTGGTAATAATAACCATAGGAGCAGTTACTGTATGGTCTTCATCAAAGTACCCTTCCAGATGGTACCCTTTAATAGCTATCAAGAAGTTTCCCTATGATCGTTAACAAGGAGTTACCCTACGATCTAATGGATAAGTGAGCTTTCAATACCCAAGTGAGAGAGTGGGCTGGCCCCACACTAGCTCAGGGGGGGAGTCACACCCAGAGTCATCAGTTTTGAGACATCTCAATATCCAAGTGAGAGTGTGGACTGGCCCCATGTAAGCTCAGGGCGAGAGTCACACCCAGAGTCATCAGAGGGAACAGGTGAGTCCAGGATAGATGCAGGGCTGTGGCCAGTCCCCTTGCAACACGTGTCCAGGTTGGTCGACCGGCCTAGTTGCATGGATCGGACACGCAGGTACGGCCGGCCCGGTTCAGTACGGTTCTTAGCAGTGATACCTTGGCCAGGATGCGTTGCAGACAAGACCTCTCCCAGCTGGAAGGAGGACGCCATGGGGAGAGGCTGCAGGGGACCCATATCAAAGGGAGGAGACGCGAAGTTTCCCAGAATCACGGTCGTGGTGCCACATACGCCAGCATCAGTAGGGCGACCAGCATCAGTAGGTCCATCCGTATTTAAACCACTCACGTTAAAGCGACTGAAATCACGGCAGCGCGTGTTTAGGGAAAGTATGGGAGCTTGCATGGCAGCTGTAGCATTGGCCAATATCTCCCCATCACTTCCCCCTATCACTGGTGCTGCTGCTGGCCCCACGGTTTGCTCACGTCCATAGCTATGTGAGAGCCCGCTAACGCTACTTCCAGCCTGCTTTCCGCTCCACTCCTCCCCCCGTTCCTGCCTGTTTCGTCCACCAGGTACAGCCTCCCCCAGCAGCGCAGATGACACCTCCCCCAGAAACTCCAACTGTCCCAGTACTGTCAGCCAGAAAGATGCCACGTGGGTCTGGATGGCTTCGCCGCTGATGGGGAGACACGTGGCGCGGTGGGATTTGCTGCGTGGATCTGCTTCAACTGCTGCACATTCGTTGCCACTCCGTTCGGACTCAGCAGGGACTTCGGTCGAGTCAGAGTGCATCCGCGTTATAGAGCCGCTGCTGCTTTGTACAGCACTCTTCGCTGTCGACGAAGCATGACAAGTCATTGGGGGAGCACGCTGCGCTGTTGTGGGAGCGGGAAGCGGCGTAACGGCTGCAGATGATGCGCGCACAGACACTCCGCGGATTGCATTGCGCGCGTTCCTCATCCCCCAATCCAGCCTCCGGTACCACCCAGGCGGAGGAAGCTTCCGCCAGTCTCCCGCCAGGACCGCACCTGATTCCACCAGCCCTCCGCCGCCCAATGTCTGCACCAGCTCCGCCGTTCCGCCCCACGGTTCCGCCACGCTTCGGGAAGCGCGGGGCGTCTTGAGAGGCAGATCCGCGGGAGTAGATGTGAAAGCGCACGGGGGCAGCAGAAACCCATCGGTCCCCGCGCGGAAGGGCGCAGGCTCGTCGATGGGCGGGGAATGGGGGGCTGGAGGCTGCTGCTGGCGGGGAAGCTCCGCGGAGTGCCTTGCGGGGAAATATGTGGGATCTGCGGGGATAACCGGATCAGCGGAGCCTGTGGGGTAGTATGCGGGGAAGGCTTGCCATGCGGGCTGAGTGGCAGGATCGCTGCATCTCCTGTCCGCTAACCCGTCGAATCGCTGCACGGGGTGCGCCGCCCGTTCCGCTTGCTGCGCAAGTTGCGCGGATCGCCGTACGGGGAAGCCGATTGACGGCCATAGTTTCGGCCGACTGAGCCAGTCACAGCGAGCGCAATGGGCGGTGCCGCATAGCCCGCCGTTATCCGGGGAGCACAATCCGCTTCGTCCGGGCGCGCCGACCCCGCACGCGCCGTCACTACTAGGAGGCGCCTCGGGCAGTCCCGCGTCCGGTTGGGAGGCGGGCGGCAGCTCCGGCGGGAGATTGCGGAGTTGCTGCGCAAACTCGCGCTCAAGCGCGCGGTCATGGCGCAGATGAGGGGCCGGCGGGAGCTCGGGTTGGAGGTCCCAGATCTTGAGCTGGCGCGCGCGCCTGTGCGGACCCCACTGGCGCGCATGCGGCTCCCCCTGCAGCTGTTTCGCGCTCGCCTGTAATTGGTCGGGGCGCCGGTGAGGGGCCGGCGGAAGCGGAAGAGGGGAGGCGGGCGGAGGAGGGACTGCGGGAATTATCAGAACGGCTGGACGCGGCTTGCGGCCGATAGGGGGGGCGGGGTTGTGCTCATGCTGTGTGTGTTCGTGGCTTGGCATTAAAACGGGCTCATTGTGGGGCTGGCTGGATCGAAGCTTGTTGCCCTGCTGCTGTTCGTCTTGGGAAACTACGGCAATTTGTTCCACGATGGAGTTCCAGGATGGAGCCATGATGATGGGAACCATCGATCAACAACCAGGATTATAAAATGAACTCTGGAAGTACTGCTGCTACATGTGCTGCTCTGCAGGAGTGCAAGGAGCAGAGCAAAACGAACGCTGGAATGCAAGGGAAGAATTTTCTGCTCATGCGATGGGTGTGTTGTGTTGGCGAAGAGGTGAGTGTGAAAGGGTGTGTGTGTGTGCTGTAAATCTTGAATGACATGGGATGGATGGGACCTGCATTCACGGAGGCGGTGCAATCACTTTTGCCTCGGGTTTGGAGTGAATTTGCGGCTCGGAATGGTTCGGAGAGATGCGATTCGGGATGACGCTAGTGGTTTTGCTCTGGTCTGCCCGTCGTTCTGCTTTGTCAACAAACCGCTGCTCCGAGCTTCACGGCGCCTCTTGACTAACCCAGGCGGAGACCCGGTTTGGCGAGGGAAGGCTGGTTTGCAAGAGCCATACTGATGGTTCGGGCTAAGCCAGGCCTGGTTTGGCACCCCTAGAAGCTGGGCTTTTTTTCTGGAGGAAGTGTCACTTGGCTAGCCCAAGATGCCGGGCGAGTGCTCCCGAGAGGTTTGTTGAGGACACGTGGCGTGTCAAGAGAGGTGTTAATTGCGATGTTTAAAAACCAGATCACCTTCCCCTTATAACGGGCCAAACCAACAAGGTATGGACCAGTTACATACCATAACCCCTAGAAATCCTTTTCCTGCAAACCCCTGGCTGATTTGCCTCTTTGCCTCGGAAGTCCCACTACTCGATACAAAAATCGATATTTGATAACGTTATGGCAAGCCCGTGTCTGGACATTATAATCCAGGAAGATTGGGTTACACAAGGTAAAATCTACAGAGTTCCTCTGTAAACTGTCATATGTATTCAGGAAAATTGGGTTACATGTCTTCAAACGAGCAGCAGCGGAAACAGTTTCACATGTCAGGGCTAAGCTCCGATGAGGTATCGGACACGGGATTTTGGAGGACAGACGAAGGACTGCTATCCTGCAGCAGCCCTACACCCTTCCCAGTTAGAGTGGCAATGCTGGTGACAGTTGGACCAATAGCAGATGCAGGAGGAATTCCGGCACTGCTTGTTAGTGTAAGAGGCGTGGGTGATTGAGGGGCGATGAGCGAAGCAACGTCTCCAACCACCAATGCAACTTCTGCAGCAGCAGAGAGTAATGAGCCCCAGAGAGAGGCGTAGTCCACTGAGCAGGTGCACGAGTCGCGGTGCTGCCTGGATCGTGCAAGATCCAACGAGGGTGCAGCAGCGGAGAGTGCGAAATCCTGCACAGAGTAATGGGATACATGAAAGTGAGAAAGGAGTTCAATATAAAGTGAATCTGCAAGGCCATGTCTCCAGAGGAAATCGTGTACTCAACCGCGTTACCATCACTTCGTGTTACCCAAATCCACGCGCTTGTGAACTCATCGACCAGCTTCCCTTCGCTCAGGCCCATTCCTTTTCCCCACCAGGCTTCCCACCCACTACTTGCCATAACCTCTCCCCGCCCCCTCACTCCCTCCCTCATTCCCCATTCCCTCTGTTGTCATCTTGCCGTTTGATGGACACCCATGCGAGACCGTGTGAAACAGAAGAGGGAAGAGCACACATGGGCGGAAGGCACAGATGGGCGGAAGGCACATGTGAACAAGGTCGGAACGCACCTTAACGGGAAAGCTGGAAGCGACAGCGGCTCTGCAGACCGAATCGGGTGCCAACTGGCTGGATGCCTCTCGCGCCGCGATTGGCGCCGCGGCTGACGACGCTGTCGATCCCTCGCGCGACTGCGACACCAGCGGAACTCTAGTCTGCGAGACCTGGACGGATTTAGATTCGGCGACGTTCCTGAGCTGCCGCGTGTCCCGCTTTTCTCGAACATTCGCGCCCGCGCTGGAATTCACTCGAATCTGCGGGATTTCCCCCGGCCTTTCCCCCCTCCGCGCTGTTCCTACGCCACGTGCTGCGGTTTTAACGGAGCCCCACGTCGACAGATCTATAACGTCGCCAGCGCCCGCTGTCGGGAAACCGATTGACACCTGCCGACTAGGATTCCGCGGGGCCGGCTGCCAAAACGGCGGCGCAAACGGCTGGCCGTGAAGATGTGCGAGCGGGGCGGAAGCGACGTCCCCGCTGGATGGTTGGGGGTCCCTATAGGGGCGCGGCGCGGGAGGAAGCTCTGGGAGGAGGTCCCAGAGCTTAGGCTGCCGCGGCGGGCGTTGGCGCGGCTTCCGCCCCTGCGCAGGGCGCGGAGCCGGAGGTGGCGCAAGAGACGACGGACGAAACGAGGCGGCGGGCTCGGCGATGGGCGCTACTGGGTGGCTGGAGAGGAAAAGCGGCGGTTCATTGAACCAAAGCGACTCGGTCCGAAATTTAGGGAGCGGCGCGGAGGGGCGTGGGGGTTGGGAGGCGAGGGGTCGCGGCGTGGGCGGAGGGTCGACGGGTTCGGGGATGAGAAGCGCGCTGGGGCGAGGCTTTCTGCCGAGCTGCGGGTGCGGGTTGGGTTCGGAGTGAACGCGGAATTCCCAGAACGGAGCCATGGCGACCAGCCACTCCGCGTTGTGATCAGGGTGGTTCTAACGGATTTGTAGGTTATGGTGGATAGGACACTCTCTACGTGGAACTTAATGTGCAGGAAAAAGAAGTACCGTGCGCGTGTGCCACCTTGTGTACTTGTTGTGGCTGGTGAAAATGAGGTAGGTGTTGCTGGCTTGAGCTGGGAGGAGAGGAGACCAGTAATTGTGCAGTTGCTGCTGTGCTGTTGTCGAAGGGCAAGACTGCTTTGCCCCTTTTCCCCCTCTTGTGCCCCCGTGAAGGTGGGCGGAAAGGCAGATCTGCTGGACGGGTGGACTGTAGAAAGACCGTGCTGTGGTGGGGAGTGGAGGGGTAGCGGCGGAGAGCCCGAGGCATCTTGAACCACCCAACGTGGAGACGTTCGACTGCGATGCGAGTCGTCAACGAGGCGCAAGCTCTACAGTGAAAAGCGACGCGGGCACTTAACCCACGCTGCCGAACTGCCTGCCTCTTGCTTGACGGTGCTTCGTCTCGATGGTAACCAGTCGTAGCGAAAGGTGCAATCCCTATCGAGATCCAGCCGAAATTTGGTAAACGACAGATACATCGGGTTGCAGCCGACTTCGCTAGGCTGCGGTGGTGCAAGCCAATAGCCAGCACATTCGCTATTTGCTAGGGTGGGTGACATCAGGAGTTGGTCGGGTACGGCTTGCTGTAGCACTGTAGCACATCTGGCTGAACATCTGATCTGGTGAACCCGCAGGTTGTTCCACTGGTTGGTTGATCGAAACGGAGAACGATCGTGTTGCGAGGTTGTTCTGACACAACCCAGGGACAAAACTCAGGCTTTGCGTCGATAAGATGACTCGATATACTGTTCGCGTAAAGTTAACTAGCAGAGTGACAACAAAGTAGAAGCATCCACAAAATTCGCCATACGCGAGATGCGATGAGATCCACTTGGTCTTGGGAGTGTAGTTGCCAACCCAAGCAAAGATCACAGAACGAAGCAAACCTCCCTGGTTTTTCCTCCACTTCCTCGAAGTCTTTTCCTCAAAACCCTAATTTCGTACTGCCTGAGCTTTCATTTCTTGGCCTGCTGTCTCGTCCTTCCAAGATTAGCATCCCTAGTTTCTTAGTAGCTGTAGCCCCTGGTTAACTCGTTCGTTTTCGTTCCGTGTTTCGCGATTCTACCGGCGTTAGAGTTCCTAGGGTTAACGGTTATTTCCAGGAGCCATGGCTCATCGGTTGTTACGAGACGAGGACGCGGATGGCTGGGAGCGCAGCGATTTTCCGATCATCTGCGAGACTTGCCTTGGAGCGAACCCTTACGTTCGCATGGTGAGGCTCTTAGGAATTTCTCTCGTCGTCGAGTATTACTTCCTTATAAGTAGTCTTACTTTATGGAGGTTGCCGCGGACACAGCGCCAGACGGGGTATATATAGGAAGCAGCCGATCAGCCTCCTGTATTCTATGGAGGTTGACGTAGTCCGGAGCTCCGGAGAAGTAACTATCTTGCAATTCGTTCCCGATCAGCCTCCTCTACTCTCTAGAGTCTCTTTTATACCGATCTCCTCGTTTCCTATCTGTTTCGTTCGCTCTCCTTTTCTGCATTCAATTCGCTGCCTTGAACTCGCGGCTATTCCGTCGCGGGTTCTAACTCGTCGTCTTCCCGTGTGGTGCCTCGTCAGACCAAGGCGAGCTTCGACAAGGAGTGCAAGATCTGCACGCGCCCCTTCACCGTGTTCCGATGGCGGCCGGGCCGCGACGCGCGCTACAAGAAGACCGAGATCTGCCAGACTTGCTGCAAGCTCAAGAACGTCTGCCAGGTCAGCACCGTGAATTTGATCCAATCTAATTTGTTTTTATTTGACTTCTGACTGAATTTGGAATTCACCCCATCTGCCATGTCAGCTCCGTGACCTTGAGTCGATCCATAATCCACGCTAGGTTCGTACTCGGTTCCTGTGCCACGAGCAATTGAGTCGGGCTTTGGATCTGGAGTACGGGCTGCCAGTGCAGGTGCGGGACACACACCCCCTCCAACCCTCATCCTCCTCCCTCTTCCCCTCCCTCTTCCCCCCCCTTCACCTCCCCCTAACTTCACCGTGCAGGTGTGCATGTTGGATCTGGAGTACGGGCTGCCAGTGCAGGTGCGCGACACGGCGCTGAACATCAACACCACGGACGCCATCCCGCAAAGCACCCCCTCTCTCTCTCTCCTACTCCATCTGCCCCCTCCCCATTCAGGTGTGCATGTTGGATCTGGAGTACGGGTTGCCGGTGCAGGTGCGCGACACGGCGCTGAACATCAACACCACGGACGCCATCCCGCAGAGCGACGTCAACCGCGAGTACTTCGCTGAAGAGCACGACCGGAAGGTGAGAGGAACACTGATGATGATTGTGATGTAAGGTAGCCTGCTGGCTGTTGGGTCGACTCAACGGTCACCTCCCGCCATCCCGCAGAGCGACGTCAATCGCGAGTACTTCGCCGAGGAGCACGACCGGAAGGTGAGCACGGCGGAATCATCACCTCAGCGAAGTAACCCTCCCCCTGCATCTGTCCTCACGACTGCAGTTGACCGCAAATCATCACCTTTCTCACTGCTGCTCCCTTTCCTGCTCCGGTCGCTGCCGCCGCTGCTCTCACTGCTCTCTCGTTGTTATTCTTGCTCTTTACCCCCCTCTCCACTCCCCTCCCCTCCCCCCCCTCTCTCCCTCCCACCCCCCCACACCTTTTCCTCTGCAAACTCGCCCTGTCTGTTCGCGATTCGAAATTGTTTTTCCCTTTTTACCCCTTCCCTCACTCCCCCTCGCCTCCCTCCCGCCCCCCTTCTTCTGGCCCTCTTCCCCCTCCCCCCTCCTCTACCCCTCTCCCCCCTCAGGGTCGAGCGGGGCTGGACTACGAGTCATCATTCGGGAAGGCTGCGCCGAACGACCTGCTGCTGAAGCTGCAGCGTACGACGCCCTACTACAAGCGCAACCGCGCGCACATCTGCTCGTTCTTCGTGCGCGGGGAGTGCACGCGCGGGGCGGAGTGCCCCTACCGCCACGAGATGCCCATCACGGGGGAGCTGGCGCACCAGAACTTCAAAGATCGTTATTATGGGTATGTGTTGGGGGAGGGGGGGAGTGAGTGGTGATGGGGGGTGTTGTGTGGTGTAGTGTGGTGGTGCACTGTGGTTCTGGAATGCAAGAAGGGGTGGGGGTGGCTGAGTGCACGTGCGGGGCGGAGTGCCCCTACCGCCACGAGATGCCCATCACAGGGGAACTGATGCACCAGAACTTCAAAGACCGCTACTATGGGTACGTGAGGAGTGAAAGTGGTGATGGGGAGTGTGGTGTGGTGTAGTGTTGTGGTGCAATGATGCAAGAGAGGGGCGAGAAGGGGCTGAGTGCACGTGCGGGGCGGAGTGCCCCTACCGCCACGAGATGCCCATCACGGGGGAGCTGGCGCACCAGAACTTCAAGAAACGTTATCATGGGTACGTGGGGGTTGTAGTGTGGTGTAGAGTGGTGGGGTATTGTGGTTCTGGAATGCATGAAGGGGCGGGGCGGAGTGCCCCTACCGCCATGAATTGCCCATCACGAGGGAACTGGCGCACCAAAACTTCAAGGATCGTTACTATTGGTACGTGGGGGATAGAGCTGGTGGAGGGGGGTGTTGTGGGGTGTAGTTTGGTGGGGCATTGTGTTTCTGGGTTGCAAAAGGAGAGGGGCTGAGTGCGCGCACGGGCCGGAGTGCCCCTACTGCCACTAGATGCATGGGCATGTACTGTCACTAGATGCATGGGCATCTACTGTCACTAGATGCCCTGCTTTCCTTCTCTCTCCCTGCCCACTTCCCCCTCCCCTTCCCTCCTGGTGCTCACAGCGTGAACGACCCAGTGGTGAAGAAAATGATGCAGCTGGCAGCAGAGGTGCCGTGGCTTGGTTGTTTGCCCATCATTCCCTCTCCTCTCCCCCCCTCCCTCCGCCTCTCTCCCCTTGCCATTGCAGCGTGAACGATACAGTGGCAAAGAAGATGATGCGCCTGGCAGCAGAGATGCCGTCACTGACTCACTTGCCCATGCTCCCCACCCCCTCTTCCCCCCCCCCTCCCTCCGCCTCTCTCCCCTTGCCATTGCAGCGTGAACGACCCAGTGGCAAAGAAGATGATGCGCCTGGCAGCAGAGATGCCGTCACTGGAAGCACCAGAGGACACGACCATCAAGACGCTGTTTGTTGGAGGCGTGGATTCCCGCGTCACAGAAGCTGACCTAAAGTGAGTGGTGTGGTGCGGTGAGGTGGTGTGGGGTGGGGTGGTGTGGTGCGGTGCGGTGTGGTGGGGTGGGGTGGTGTGTTGTGGTGCGGTGTGGTGTGCATGTCACTTGTTAGCATCGGAGGACACGAGCATCAAGGCGCTCTTTGTTGTTGGCGTCACTCCGCCCCTCGTCCCTCGCCTCACCCCCCCTCCCCTTAGGCAGGGACAAGTTTTATGCGTACGGGAAGGTAGAGTCCATCCGCCTCATCACCCCGCGCAGCTGTGCCTTCATCACCTTCTCCTCCCGCGAGGAGGCCGAGAAGTCTCCTTCATGCTCTCCTCTGCAACCCCCATTCCCACCCCCTCTCCTGCCCCCCTCCTCTCTTCCCTCCTTGCCATGGCAGGGACAAGTTCTATGCATACGGGGAGGTAGAGTCCATCCGTCTCATCACCCCGCGCAGCTGTGCCTTCATCACCTTCTCCTCCCGCGAGGAAGCCGAGAAGGCCGCTGAGGGACTCGCTAACAAGCTTATAATCAAAGGGATTCGGCTCAAGCTAGACTGGGGGCGACCCAAAGCAGAGGCACTGGAAGGAGGAGGGGACGGAGGAGGGAAGCGGTTGCTGGAAGGGGGAGAGAAGGGGGCGGGGGGAGCGGGTGAGGGGGGTGAGGGGGATGGGGAAGGGGGAGGAGAGGGTGGAGACGGAGGGGGGTCGGGTGGTGCGGCTGGGGGGAGTGGTGCAGGAGAGGGTTCGGCTGGGGGCAGCTTCAGGTTGCTGCCTCGGGCTGCGGCAGGTTCGGCAGTAGGTCCGGCAACATCTGCTTCGATGTATCCATCCATGAACCCTGAGAGGATGGGGGCACGCACTCGCGGCAGGGAGGGGGAAGGAGGAGGTGGAGGAGGGGGAGGGGGAGGAGGGGGAGGGGGAGGGGGAGGGGATGGTGGTGCTGCTAGCAGTGGTGATGCATCTGCTGCTCCACCGTTCCAATACCCTCCTCATGCCTACCCTCCCCCTGGCCACGCTCCCTATCCTGGCCCCCACCCTCTCCAGCCCTACCAGCCTGCGCCAGGTATGCCTCCCCCAGGTGGTCCTCCCCTTCACCCAGGGGCCTATCAACAGCAGCCGGGGGGGTACCCGGGATCCTACCCTCCTCCTCCCATGGGTTACCAGCAGCAGCAACACTACCAGCAGCCGCAACAATTTCAGCAGCAGCAGCAGCAGCAGCAGCAGCAGTATCAGCAACAGCCATACATGCCTCCCCCCTCTCAGCAGTATGCACCACAGCAGGGTCCCCCACCCCCGTACCCAGGTGGTCCGTCAGGTGGCCAACAACAGTATCCAGGTGGTCCTTCAGGTGCTCCACAACAGTATCCGGGTGGCCCACAGCAGTATTCAGGTGCCCCTCCAGTTGCTCAACAACAGTACCCAGGTGGCCCTTCAGGTGGGCCACAACAGTACCCAGGTTTCCCCCCAGGTGCACCACAGCAGCAGCAGTATCCCGGACCTCCATCCCAAGCCTACCCTCCCCAACAGTACCCCGGGCCAGGGCCAGCAGGTCCGGGGCAATATGGCCCTCCGAGGCCTGGTACCGGACCTCAAGGTTAGGCTGATCAGATTTGATCGAACATGACGATGTTATTTGATTAAATCTAGTGTTTACTGCACATGCGAGCAGTTACGCAACAGGCCTGGAGGTGTGTGGGGGGTGGGGCGTGCAGAAGTGCAAGGGGGAAGGTGCTACTTGTGGAAGAGAATGATACTTCGGGGTATCGTAACAGTGGTACGGTAATGTAGTTGATTCTTGCGCCAAAAAGAACGTCTGTAATTGCTCACAACTGACTGCTCTGAGCAGAGTTGAACAATGTCATGTCAGAACGAAGTACCAGCTATTGAACAAAGGGAGTGAGCATTTTTTGAAAGGGCTGAATTAGGCAAGAGGCACTCACATGTATACATGACCTACCTGATAACTGCAATTCAAAGCAATCAAAACAGCAGTCGCTACAGAAGGAATATCAACTTCAAAGCATTCTACTCCAAACTTTTTAGGGTATTCGCTCGCAACAACTTCAACGCATTAGACACCCAAAGCAAAAGCAGTGAAATTTATGATTGGCATAAGCAATGGCTGGCCCCTGATTGGGCTCACTGGCTCATTCCATTCCACATCCTTATTTAGCTAATACCGTATGCCACGTTAAGTCACAGCAGCATGAGGGCAGTGAGGGCGAGGCCAACAGAGGCAAGCAGGTGGAAGACGGAAGCAGCAGTGCCTCCTGCTGCAGATAGGAACGAAGGAGCAACTTGTTAGGGCATCGTGTGAAATTATCAAGAGGTATGACGAACATGTTTGGCTTGCTTCGGCCAATGCATCGGTGCGTGTGTTAGTGTGTGCGCACACGTGCGCGCGCGTCTGGGTGTGCATATGTGGGTGGGTGTCAATGTGTAGTGTGCGTGCGTACATGTGCACGTACCGGCTTTCGTGCCAAGAGCATCCATGTTATTAGGAAGAAGCACTGATTTGCTCCAATACACCACGACCTCGCTTTCGGGAACATCCAACACCATGTCTCCAGCATCCACCAACGTGTATGCAAACGGGCTCCCATCACCCAACACAAAGCCCTTGCCTTGTGGCAGTGGCGAGCTGGCCTGCTGCTGAGGAGACGCGCCGGAAATATTCCATGCGGGCACCTTGCTGAAGAAAGTAGACGTGTCAAAAGAAGTGGTGACAGTGTAGTTCATCCAGAGAGGCTGCCCCTCCATAGTGGGAAGCTCCCATGGACCGCCGGATGAGTACTGCCAGTAGGATAGCGGGGGGATGAGAGATCGGGGGTGTGATGGCAAGTGATTACATGTTGAATAATCTGAAAGAAATCGCCCACCGTGAGATGCGGCCTAACTTATTGATGGAATCCTGTGATGAGAACGCAGGAGAAACACGATCATGTTTCCACCTGACGTTTCTCAAAGATTTCATCACTCCCTCCCACCCTCCCTCCCTCCCTCCCTCCCTCCCTCCCTCCCTCCCTCCCTCCCTCCCTCCCTCCCTCCCTCCCTCCCTCCCTCCCTCTCTCCCTCCCTCCCTCCCTCTCCCTCCCTCCCTCCCTCCCTCCCTCCCTCCCTCCCTCCCTCCCTGGACGACCCTGTGCGTCACAGAATCTTAATTTGATGAGCATGACATATCACAATAACATGTTGCAGTTGAAATGATAGGAGTGCTGCGGTTACAGCAGCAGGAGTGCGGCGGTTACAAGATGGAAGTACTGGCTCCTGCAGGAGAAGGGGAGAACCAAGAAGCGGGATCTTAGGACATAACGTAGAGCCTTCAAGTGGTACGACGTAGAAGAAACAAGCTTGGCTTGCTTGAATCACTAAGTGCATCACGTATGCATGCGTGCGTGATTGCGCCCGCCCCTCGCAGCCCGCCCGTCGACCCTAGGCCCCGCGCGCCCGTCGCCCCTAGGCCCTGGCCCGCCCGTCGCCCCTAGGCCCCGGCCCGCCCGTCGACCCTGCTGCCCCGTGCGCCCGCCCGTCGACACTAGCCCGGCGCGCCCGTCGCCCCTAGGCCCCGGCCAGCCCGTCGACCCTACTGCCCCGCGCCCCCGCCTGTCGACCCTAGCCCGGCCCGCCCGTCGACCCTGCTGCCCCGCGCGCCCGCCCGTCGACCCTAGCCCGGCCCGCCCGTCGACCCTGCTGCCCCACGCACCCGCCCGTCGACCCTAGCCCGGCCCGCCCGTTGCCCCTAGGCCCCGGCCCACCCGTCGCCCCTAGGCCCCGGCCCGCCCGTCGACCCTGCTGCCCCGCGCGCCCGCCCGTCGACCCTAGCCTGGCCCGCCCGTCGACCCTAGGCCCGGCCCGCCCGTCGACCCTAGGCCCCGGCCCGCCCGTCGCCTCTGCTGCCCCGCGCGCCGCCCTTGCGGCCCGCCCGTCGACCCCAGGCCCCGCGAGCCGCCCCTTGCGGCCAGCCCCTCACCCCTGCAGCCCGCAAGCCGCCCTTGCAGCCCCGCGCGCCACCCCTGGTGGCCCTCTAGCCGCCCCTGCTGCCTTGCTAGCCGCCCCTTGCGGCCCTCTCGCCGCTCCTGCAGCCCTGCGCGCCGCCCCTTGCGACCTGCCCGCCGCCCGTGCAGTCCCGCGCGCCGCCCCTAGGCCTGCCAGCCGCACCTAGGAGCTGGAGCTGTTGACCCTGGAGCTGGAGGTGCTGGAGCTGGGGGTGCTGGTGGTACTGGTGCAGGAGACACTGTGCGGCCGTGACCGTACTTCGTTCCCCTGCTTCAGCAAGTGCTTGGTGTCCTGTCTTCTACTGGCCTCCCTCCTCCCTTACTGTGTCCACCGCCTGACCAGTCGCACCCGCCGTTATAGCCAGCCTCCTCACTGCCTGCTCCTTCTCCTTACACTGAGCAGACCGGTGGCCTTACAGAGCGTCGTGAGCCTGTGTCTCGTCCTGCCTCCCCTGTTTGCACTGGTCGTCGCGTTCCTCATCCGCGTCCTCCTCCTGTCCCTGGCACACACGCTATGGCACTTCTTCCTTCCTCTGTTCCACTGCGTGTTCCTCTGCCTGCTCCTCCTGAGTCCTCTCTTCCTGCCGTCCATGACCCTGCATCTGACCGCGCTCGTGCTGCCAGTCCCACTGTCTCTCGTCTCCTCGCCACTATTGTCACTGACCCTTCTTTTGAGTCCACTGCTGCGTCTGCCCTCGTTGCTGAGCTGGTTGACTTTGCTGCTGCCTGTCGTCTTGACTACGCCACTGCTCTTGTTGCTGAGTCTGAGTCTGCCAGTCCTCCGTCTGTCGGGGGTGAGTGTGCCCTTACCACAAACGTCCTTGAGGATAGGCAGGAGGACTTTGAGTGTCTTGCAGCTGCTGTACCTCGTTTCGCTTCCATGCTGCTTGCCCCTAAGGGAGACCCAGATGCTCCAGACATCCCGACCCCGCGCTCTTACGCAGAGGCGATCACGGGTCCTTACTCCTCTCAGTGGCAGGCAGCCATTGATGCCGAGATGGCATCCACAGGCACCTATGTCGATGAAGTTCCCCCGTCTCGGGCGAACATAGTCGATGGCATGTGGATTTTCAGGGTGAAGCGACCGCCGGGTTCTCCGCCTGCCTTCAAGGCGCGTTACGTTGCTCGAGGCTTCAGTCAGCGACAGGGAGTTGACTACTTCCAGACCTTCTCCCCCACCCCGAAGATGACTACTCTTCGGGTGTTGCTGCATGTCGCTGCTCAGCGTGACTACGAGTTGCACTCTCTAGACTTCAGCACAGCTTTCCAGCAGGGCAGCCTGCACGACGAAATCTGGCTGCGCAGGCCACCTGGTTTCACTGGGACGTTTCCTGCAGGTACCCAGTGGGGCCTCCGCCGGCCAGTCTACGGTCTCTGCCAGGTGCCTCGCGAGTGGCACGACACGCTGAGGACTACACTTGCGGCTCTTGGGTTTGCTCCTTCTACTGCGGACCCGTCGCTGTTTCTACGCACCGACCCCTCTCTGCCGCCGTTCTACGTCCTCGTGTACGTCGAGGACCTCGTCTTTGCCACTGCTGACACCGAGGCACTGACCCTTGTGAAGTCCGAGCTGCAGAAGAGACACACCTGCACTGACCTGGGTGAACTGCACAGCTATCTTGGCTTGCAGATCACCCGGGACAGAGCACGGCGCACCATCACACTAACTCAGTCACACATGGTGCACCAGGTCCTTCAGCGCTTCGGCTTCCAGTTCTCCTTGCCACAGCCCACTCCTCTGTCTACCAGCCACTCGCTCTCAGCTCCACCTTCGGACGAGTCCGTAGAGCCGAGTGGACCATACCCAGAGCTTGTGTGTTGCCTCATGTACCTGATGACGTGCACACGACCTGACCTCGCATACCCTCTCAGCCTCCTGGATCGCTACGTTGCTCCCGGTAGGCACCGAAAGGTGCACTGGGATGCTGCGAAGAGGGTACTGCGTTACTTGTGCAGTACGTTGGGCATGGGGCTCGTGCTTGGAGGATGGGGTCCAGTTGTCCTCACTGGTCACGCAGACGCTTCTTGGGTTGACGACTCAGCTACGCATCGGTCGTCACTGGGTTACACCTTCAGCCTCGGTTCCGGCTCTGTTTCTTTGCGGTCTACCCGCTCGTCTTTGGTTCTCAGCTCCAGTTGTGAGGCTGAGATCTACGCAGGGGCCATGGCTGCACAGGAGCTACGCTGGCTCACCTACCTGCTGACTGACTTGGGCGAGCAGCCTCGTTCGCCTCTTGTTCTGTACGTAGACAACAATGCCATGATTGCCTTGTGTCAGGAGCACAGACTGGAGCACAGAACGAAGCACATCGCTCTGCGATACTTCCTTGCCCGAGAGTTGCAGCAGCGTGGCCAGCTTCGTCTTGCGTACGTGGCCACTAGGGCCAACACTGCTGATATATTCACCAAGGCACTTCCGCCTGGTGATCATCAGCGCTTCTCTACTGTGTTAGGCCTTGTGCTCACTTTGCCTCACTTGCTCACTACGTGACTTTGCTTGTACTGTGATCTATATATTTACCTGCATGCTTACACTTGCTAGGGTATGATCATTGTATTGTTTGTTCATTTTTTTATAACTCTGCATGTGAATTGGCCATGTGGCCCTTTGCTTGTGCTCGGACTGTGTGGTGACTTTGTGATCCACCGTGAGCTTGCTTTGCTTTTCTTGACTGGTCTTGTGACCACTTTTTCTCCCCCACTTTGCCTATGGGGGTGTGTTAGAATATTTTAGTGCTTACATTTGTTTAGGCTATAGTTGGGGGTAGCCCATAAGGGGTACAACCCAATTAGGGTTAGTACTTGTACCCAACTCTTTCATAGTTCATTCATTCTCGTTCATTCTTTTGACAGCTGTGCCTTGTCAGCAGTGCCCGCACAGACCTCTTTACAGGTTCTTGACTCGAAGAGAACGGGCCAGTGCAGTTGGTTTCAGGAGGAGCTAACGAACCAGACAGTGGCGCTTTTGGCGGCTGCATTCCCGATTTGTCGTTCATCCTGCTGGCATGACCCTTGACTTTGACGACCTGGACCACAAACAATCTGCATCCGTACGAACCGGCCCAGCTTAGTGTTCGTAAGACGAGAAAGACTGAAGTGAAAAGCAGTAAAAAGACCATGTATCTGATACATTCTACAATAAATGCAAAGCAAGCCTGCCTGCATCTCTAGACAAGAAAGTTGATATGAAAAAAACTCGAAACACTTGCACATCCGAATGCATTAAAGCTCGAAGAAGAGAAGTGGGTGGGCGAACAAATACTAGGGACATGGCAACAGTCAATGCGGCGGAAGTGGTTGAATGCAAGCTGCAGCAGCTAGAGAGTCGGCCCTTGCAGCTGGGACCTGAGGTGAAAAACGATGCGGGAAGGCAAGAAAGCAAAAGGGTAGTAGAAATTCAAGTGGAAACTATGGCACAACAGAAATAGATGAAAAAAACTTGGGGAGAATTTGTGTGTGCATGTGAGGATATGTTCAAGGGTGGGCCGGTGGCCGTGTTCGACTTCATGTACAATACATGTAAGCAAGCGCAGGTTAATGCAAGGTGTGCTTACATCTAAGGCTTTTCTCACATGCAAACAAGAGAACAAAACCAACGGAAACAACATGCCCTTCACAACGAAACAATGTAGCCCCTCACACACCCAGAAAAACCTCACATGGAATAAGGCAGTAACCAACCGTTGACGCAACGCACGAAGAGCAGCGCATCGTAATCAGCCCCCCCTCGAGGTAGTAGAAGTGTGGGAGGCGGCGGCAGTACCAGAAGCGCATCGAGCGATGGAAGTGGATAGGCAGTGAGGGGTAAGAGCCGGGCATGCTCGCGTGCACACACATTGGAAAACAAAACAAAACAAACAAACATAACGCTCTCACAACTACAGGAGTCAGCAAGCACATCCCCAAAAACCACAACTAAACCAGCCATTGACGGAACTTGCAAAGAGCAGCGCGTCATACCCCCCCCCCCCCCCCCCCCCCCCCTTCCCCCCTCCCCCCCCCCCTCCCCCTCAAGTTAACAGAAGCGCCGGAGGCTGCGGTGACAGCAGAATCGCAGCGAGCGATAGAAGCAGATGGCTGCTGCAGTGTATGGGACCACCTGCAGGTAGCCGCCAACACAGCGTGGGAGGGAGGAGGCATGGGAGAGCAGCAGATGCACCAGGTGGGATGATGTGGGGGCAGGCGATGGGAGGGGAGACGATGGGTGAAAAAACTTTCTAACTAGCAGGGAGAGAGAGGAGGCATGGGCGAGCAGGAAATAGGAAATGCACCAGGTGAGATGCCGCGAGTTGGTGTGGGAAGAGGGGAAGTACACATTGGAATGGAAGGTCGGGTTGACCTTTGCGACTTTTGAGACGACTCAAAAGTGAACATGGTGGAGGAAGACGGGATGTAGACGATGGGAATGAAAGGAAGGCCGGATTGACCTTTGCAACGCTGAGAGTGCGCATGTAGAGGAGTGAGTACCTTTACATGCGAATGAAGAGGAGAGAAAAAATAGATGTTGCTGGGTCGCTTCTAGATATCCCTCAAAGCAAGAACTTGAAGAGATCTTGAAAGAATAAGATTTTGCAATGCCGAGCGTGAGGATGTAGAGGAGCGAGGGTGTTGGGGAGGGGAAGGGCGAAGGAGGAGTCAGAGGAAACACGTCCGCTCCCTGAGAGAGAGAGATGGTGGCCAAGGGGAGGGGAGACAAGTAGGAGGGAGCAGCACAAGAGGAGGTGAAGGCAAGTACAGAGAGTGTGAGGTGACGATGTAGGGGAGCGAGGGTGATGGGGTGTGGCAGGGGGGAGGAGGAGTCAGAGGAAGCACGTCTTCCCCCTGAGAGGGAGTCAGTGGGAAGGGGGGAGACAAGTGTGGGTGAGAAGCGTGTGGGGGAGGTGAAGGCAAGTAGAGCGAGAGAGTGGGGGATGTATATGATGACAAACACAGCAGACACAACAGGAAGTTGTTGATTTGAGATGAATCAAGAACATAACTCCCCCGAGCCTGACACACACTTCAACCCACTATCAGAGAACTCTGCCTTTGATGGGAAGGACTGGCCGGGCAGAAGGGTGGGGGGAAGAGAAGGGGGCAACAGTGCGAGGTGAGCTTGAGGGCATCTCAATCCCCCCCACACTTTTCCCATGAGTTGACGCCTCTGTGCTGAACCACGTTGTCGAAGGGGATGGGGAAAAGGAAGTATGCCTCGTATTCAAGAAAAGGCGATGAAGGTGGGGAGAGAATGAGTGGAAGGGGGAATGATGCAAGGGGTATTAAGCAGTGCGGGCAGGGGAGGGGAGGGGTTTTGAAAAGAGAATCTTGCTGCTGGGAAACGAGATTCCATGAGAATAGAACGGCTCAAGAGGTATTGGCATTTGGAATGGAAGAGGAGGAGGGGTTTGTGTGAAACGAATGGCAGGAGAGTTGACAAGAACTTTGAAAAGGAAATTTGATGAGAAGCCAAGGCATGAGAGAGTGGGTGCAACAATCTTACGCCGCCGCCTCCCACCTGTCACTCACACACTTTGCAGGCACATGACACTCACACGCGACACACACGACTCACTCACACATGTCCCTCTCTCCCCTCTTCTCCTGTCACTCTCCTCTCTGCTCCTCCCTTGCCTCTCTCGCTCTTTCCCTTTCCTCACTTCGCCTCTCCTCCCTTCCCATTCATCCCTCCTTCCATTCCCTCTATGTGCCTCTTCTTCATTCTCATTCATCCCTACATCCATACACCTGCATCTACAGTTGCACCCTGCCCATTCCCACCCTTTCCAACCCTCCACATGGCCACACCCAATGGAGCCCCAGATAGGAGCCATGTCTTTACGTGGCAGCGACTGATTCAACTGTAAAAGTTGTTGTTAGTTAAAAATTTTGCTTGAAATCTCTTGTAGAGAATATTCTTGGCGGTAACCGGTTTCGGCTTTTCGCCTTCTTCAGACCACAAGGGAAAAAATGAAGCAAACTAGAGCTATTATACTAATCCCGAGGACTCCACGCGAGGCATTCCTTCGCTGGGCCAGGGAGAAGCTGTACTGTAGAGCTGTAACAAACACTACACTACACTAACTCTTATGAGCAGAAACTAAAAAATTTCCAACTCTTTGAGGTAACTTCCAAGCGACGATAGCTCTCCGTGTAGAAAACACACCGTGTGACATTGTAGCGAGTTGACTTTTGAGTCGACTCAAAATGCACCCCAGGCGCGAACGGTCAACCAGCGGGTTGAGCAGCAGTTTCAGCACCAGGGGGCCACGGTTAGGAGAGTTCTGTAAAGAAGAGGCGCGTTGGAGAAGTTCCCCACGATCGGAGAAAAGGACTGACTTGAAAATCGGAAGAAGAAAATTCTCCGGATAGCCGCGTGCTCGGAGGCGAGCAAAGAAAAGAGCGCGGGAATTAAGAAAGTCAGAACGAGAGGAAGAGCGTAGCAAGAAACGCTGAAGCTCACTCCGAATGAAACCCAGCTTAGTGTCAGAATGTATTTGCTGTTTAGCCTGCAGTGGGGTACTCTGTAGTGAGTACAACCCAATTTAGGGTTTGCTATTTGTATCCCAACTTTCCATAGTGAAACCCCTCATTCTCCTTTCCAATTCTCTCGACACTCAATTCTCTCGACACTCAACTCTCTCGACACTCACTAGCCATGGCTCCTAAGTCACGCTAGGATTCTAACATGGTATTAAGAGCAATAGTTCCTAGGACCTCACATCAATGGGCCCACCACCTAATGCCCTGCTAGCCTAGGCCCCGGCCCGTCGCCCCTTGGCGTCGCCCCTAGCCCCTAGGCTCGGCCCCTTGGCCCCGTCGCCCCTAGCTCGGCCCCTCGGCCCCGCTGGCCCCGTCGATTCCGTCGCCCGCGCCCGGCCCGTACCTAGCCCGCGATCGGCCCGTACTTAGCCCGCGATCGGCCCGTACCTAGCCCGCGATCGGCCCGTACCTAGCCTCGCGCCCGGCCTCCGTTTCGCGCCCAACGCCCGGCCCCGTACCTAGCTCGCGCCCGGCCCGTACCTCGCCCGCGCCTGGCCCCGTCCCTAGCCCGCGCCCGGCCCGTACCAAGCCCGCGCCTGGCCCCGTCCTTCGCCCAGCGCCCGGCCCGTACCTAGCCCGCGCCCGGCCCGTACTTAGCCCGCGACCGGCCCGTACCTAGCCCGTCGCCCGGCCTCGTCCCTAGCCCAGCGCCCGGCCCAGTACCTAGCCCGCGCCCGGCCCCGTACCTAGCCCGCGCCCGGCCACGTACCTACCCAGCGCCCGGCCCCGTCCCTTGCCCAGCGCCCGGCCCAGTACCTAGCCCGCGCCCGGCCCCGTACCTAGCCCGCGCCCGGCCCAGTACCTAGCCCGCGCCCGGCCCCGTACCTAGCCCCGCGCCCGGCCCCATTCCGCGCCCAACACCCGGCCCCGTACCTGCCCAGCACCCGGCCCCGTCCCTAGCCCAGCGCCAGGCCCCGTACCTAGCCACGCCCCTCGGCCCCACTGGCCTCGTCGCCCCTAGCTATGGCAAGAGGGGTGCTGACTTCCTGCCCGCGTGCCCTGCAGTCGCACGCGCAGCTCCGCCCCCGCCCCCCTCCCCCCCCTCCCCCTCCTCCATGGGGACGGGGGGGAGAGGGTGTGAGGGGGTGGCGGATGTGCCTCAGCAGCAGCAGCTGCCGCCGCGCCTCCTCCTCTATCTCTCCCTACCGCACCCTGTGTTGGGAGGGGGGGGGGAGCTTGGAGGTTCAGGGGGAGGCAGGAGGGGATCTGCAGCACCAGCCCCCCCCGCCCCCCCCCCCGCCCCCCCCTTTCTCCTCCACCCCTGCTGCGGGTGCAGCAGTGGGGGGAGGGGATCTGCAGCGGCAGTGGGGGGAGGGGATTTGCAGCATCAGCCCCCCCCCCCCCCCCTCCGCCCTTTTCTCCTCTCTCTCTCCCTGCCGCACCCTGTGTTGGGAAGGGGGGGAGCTTGGAGGTTCAGGGGGAGGCAGGAGGGGATCTGCAGCAGAAGTGGGGGGGAGGGGATCTGCAGCAGCAGTGGGGGGGAGGGGAGTTGCAGCATCAGCCCCCCCCCCCCCCCTCCCTCCCCCCCAGCCCCCCCCCCCCCCCCCCCCCCCCACTTCTCCTCCATCCCCCTGCTGCGAGTGCAGCAGTGGGGTGGAGGGGATCTGCAGCCCTGCGCGCCCTGCGCGCCCTGCTGTCCTGCTGCCCTGCGCGCCCAGCGCACCCTGCTGCCCTGCAGCCCTGTGCGCCCTGCTGCCCTGTTTGCCCCTCTCGCCCTGCTGTCCTGCTGCCCTGCGCGCCATGCGCGCCCTGCAGCCCTGCGCGCCCCGCGCGCCCTGCTGCCCTGCTGCTGCCGCTACAGCCCTTGCTGTTGCCGCTACAGCCCTTGCTGCTGCCCTGCGCGCCCCGCGCGCCCTGCAGCCCTGCTGCACCCCGCGCGCCCTGCTGCCCTGCGCGCCCCGCGCGCCCTGCAGCCCTGCTGCGCCCCGCGCGCCCTGCTGCCCTGCGCGCCCCGCGCGCCCTGCAGCCCTGCTGCGCCCCGCGCGCCCTGCTGCCCTGCTGCCCTGTGCGCCCCGCGCGCCCTGCAGCCCTGCGCGCCCTGCTGTCCTGCTGCCCTGCGCGCCCTGCGCGCACTGCAGCCCTGCGCGCCCCGCGCGCCCTGCTGCCCTGCAGCACTGTGTGCCCTGCTGCCCTGCTGTCCTGTGCGCCCTGCGCGCCCTGCAGCCCTGTGCGCCCCGCGCGCCCTGCAGCCCTGCGCGCCCCGCGCGCCCTGCTGCCCTGCAGCCCTGTGCGCCCTGCTGCCCTGTTTGCCCCGCGCGCCCTGCTGCCCTGCAGCCCTGTGCGCCCTGCTGCCCTGCCGCCCTGTGCGCCCCGCGCGCCCTGCAGCCCTGTGCGCCTCGCGCGCCCTGCTGCCCTCTGCACGCGCCATGCACAAACCCCCCCCCCCCCCCCCTCCCTTCTCCTACCTCCCCCTGCTGCGGGTGCAGCAGTGGGGGGGAGGGGATCTACAGCACCAGCCCCCCCCCCCGCCCCCCCTCTTCTCCTCCATCCCCTGCTGCATGTGCAGCAGTGGGGGGAGGGTATGGGGGTGGCGGGTGTGGGTGCAACTGCGGGGTGGAGGGTATGGGGGTGGCGGGTGTGTAAACCGTCCCCTGCTCCTCCTCCTCCTCTATCTCCCACTGCTGCAGCTGCCGCTGAGGGGGGTGGGTGTGTGGGAGCCGAGGGAGTGGTGCTAGGGGGGTGATGTGGGAGTGGAGCTAGGGGTGCAGCAAGGGGTGTGTGAAAGGGGGGTGGGACAGTTGGGGGAGGTTGAGCGGAGGCTGCCGTCTTGTCGTCCGCAGCACCTGTAGTCCGGGGCTCTGCTTCTGGTAGCTCAGAGAGCCTGCTGCGCCTGTCGCCTGTGGGTCCGTTGCTCCTGCCGCTCAGAGTTAGCCGCAGAGCCAGTTACTCCTGTAGTCCGGGGATACGGCTCCGGTAGCCACAGTGCGCGCCGCTCCTGTTGCTCGTGTGTCTGCAGCATCAGCCGTCGCCTCCTATCTACTCTCCTCTTACAGTCCAGCCTCCTCCTCACTTGCCCTTTGTGAATGCCTCTAGCTTTGCTTGTACTTGTGAACCTGCTCTATGACTGCTTGCTCTGCTGATTATACCCCACTTTGACTATGGGGGTGTGTCAGAATGTATTTGTTGTTTAGCCTGCAGTGGGGTACTCTGTAGTGAGTACAACCCAATTTAGGGTTCGCTATTTGTATCCCAACTTTCCATAGTGAAACCCCTCATTCTCCTTTCCAATTCTCTCGACACTCAATTCTCTCGACACTCAACTCTCTCGACACTCACTAGCCATGGCTCCTAAGTCACGCTAGGATTCTAACACTTAGTAGCGCGGGTGTGATAGGACTTAAACGGTAAGTACAGTAACGGTTCATCGGCTTCTGAAACAGCTTCATGTCCAGCGTGCCTGAAGATTGAAACCTCTGTCCTTTAAAAACCGTCAGGTCAAGAAAATCCATGGTCTGTTCTGAAATAACCCAGGTGAGACAGATGGATGAATGAAGGGTGTCAAACCGTTTCCGAAAAAACTCAAACTCCTCCCGCGTCCCTTCCCACATAATTAGACCGTCGTCAATGAAACGAAGATGTAGGGCGGGAAGAACGCGCAGCGAGGCGTGTAATTGAATGTCCAGGTAGCTGAGGAAAAGGACTGCGAAGCAAACAGCTACGGAAGTCCCCATAGCCGTACCCTGGACTTGTCGGAAAAAATGGCCGTTAAAAGTCACAAAGCTGTTAAACATCACCCATCTCAGCAGACGAATGATGACTGGTGCGAGCGGATGTCGCTCCTTCCGAAGGAAATAGTCGACAGCGTCGATCCCGTCCCATAAAGGTATAGACGGATAAAGTGATTCGACGTCATAGGACGCAAGCAGCAGATTTGAGGAAAAATTCCGCTTCTCCAACTCCAGAATAAGGCTTTTAGAATCCTTAACATAAGTAAACTGCTTCAGCACCAGAGGCCGAAGGACGGAATCGAGCCATCTAGAGGCGTTGGTAGTAATCCATGAATTGTCAGAATGTTATCTTATGCTCTAGCCTGTAGTGGGGTGCTCTATAGCGAGTACAACCCTTCTAGGGTTTGCTATTTGTATCCTCATTCTTGCTAGTGCAATCCTCTTCTTCCTTTTAAACTTTAAACATGCTATCAGAGCAGGTCGATCCCCTTGGATCGATCCTGTGGGTGGGCTTACCACCTCCTAGCTTCCGCTGCAACTCCTACCACTACACTCGGTGCCGCACGCCCCGTGGCGTGTGGCAGTTTTCTTCCCGCCGTGCGCCCCGAGGCGCGCGGCGGTTTTCTTCCCGCCGTGCGCCCCGAGGCGCGCGGCGGTTTTCTGCCCGCCGTGCGCCCCGAGGCGCGCGGCGGTTCTCTGCCCGCTGTGCGCCCCGAGGCGCGCGGCGGGCTTCGGCCCCGTCAACCGTCGCGTCGCCCTCGGGAGGCGCCGCGACGGGCGACGGGGACCCGTTCGTCGCCCCCCGTCGCCCGTCGTGGCCTGCGCGCGGCCCGTACAGGCAGCGCGCGACCCGTACGGGCTGCGCCAGGCCCGCGCGCGACCCGTACGGGCTGCGCCAGGCCCGCGCGCCACCCGTACGGGCTGCGCCAGGCCCGCGCGCGGCCCGTACGGGCGGCGCCAGGCCCGCGCGCGGCTCAGGCCGCCTACGCGCGGTTCGGGCGACCCTACCAGGCCCGTGGTGGGCCCGCTCCTTGCTGCCCCTGCCCTCCCTACTGTCCCCCAGCGCTTCTACTCGTGCCCCACCCCTCCTACTCCCCATTCTCCTGTATTAGGGTTTGGGGGTGCGGGGTATGGGGGTGCACCCACTGTGTACTGTTCCCTGCTCCTCCTCCTCCTCCGTCTCCCTGTGCTGCAGCTGCCGCTGAGGGGGGGTGGACGTGTTGGAGCCGGTGGAGTGGTACTAAGGGGGGGTGAAGGGGGAGTGGAGCTAGCGGTGTAGCAGCGGGTATGTGCCAGGGGGGAGTGGGATAGTTTGGGGAAGCTGAATGGAGGTTGCCGTCGTGTCGCCAGCAGCACCTGTATTCCGGGGACTTCGTCCGGTAGCCCAGTCGTAGCCAGCTGTGCCAGCCGCCCGTGGGTCCGTTGCTCGTCTGCCGCTACTTTAGCCGCGGGGCCTGTTACTCCTGTATTCCGGGGACTTCGTCCGGTAGCCGCTGTGCCAGTCTGCCTCCTGTTGCCTGTGTGTCTGCAGCTTCAGCCGTCGCCTCCTATCTCCTCTCCTCTCACTCTCTCTCCTCCTCCTCACTTGCCCGTTGTGACTACCACTAGCTTTGCTCATAATTGTGAACTTAAACTATTGCTTCTTGAACTTGTGCTCAGAATGTGTGGTGACATTGTGATCCACCCTGAGCTTGTACTCCTTTGCTTACTCTGCTGATTACACCCCACTTTGGCTATGGGGGTGTGTCAGAATGTTATCTTATGCTCTAGCCTGTAGTGGGGTGCTCTATAGCGAGTACAACCCTTCTAGGGTTTGCTATTTGTATCCTCATTCTTGCTAGTGCAATCCTCTTCTTCCTTTTAAACTTTAACATGAATGACATGCTGCGATAGGTCGGACGGCTGGAACCTTCTTATGAATTTTAAGCAGGACGTAAAAAGCCGGAACCTTCCAGCCTGATGGAGGTTGATGGAAAAAGGAGTCCCAAATCCGAGCTTTAATCAGAGGGTTCCATTCAGCACGGATTGAATGTAGATCGCCGAGGATTTCCGAAACAGGGACCGTAGAATATTCCTTGTAGACTTTAGGATCAAGGAGGTGTTTCAGGCATTTATCCTGATAGAAGTCCCTGCTCATGACCGTTAGCCCAAGGTTTTTATCAGCCGGTTTAAAAATGAGATTCGGATCCTTAGCAAGGCGGCGGAGTGTTGGAATGATGTTCTTCGATTTGCGGGTGAGTGCCGAAAATGATTGTCCATTGATTTCTTCAACAGCTGCTTCTCTGAAAACCTCCAAGGCCGTCTCAATTTCTGGAGAGGCTGGCGGAGGAGTCCATTTGACTCGTTTAGGTAGTTTGTACCCTGAGTAACCAAGAGAATCAGATCCATTAAAAAGAAACATGGTGCGAACACTCCTGAAGAAAGATGACAGTTCCGCTTCGAAGCTAGCAACACTACGAATTACAGGGACAGGGATGTATTTGAGACCGAGGCTTAGCAGTTTCAGTTCTTTCGGTGAGAATGTATGATTGCTGTAGTTGTGAAGACCGCGGTTAGTAACCCGACATTGCAGCTGATACTTTGTCTGTCTGCCGAAGAGGATCAGTGCACAGGCGTGCACATCACCGACTAACGCGTCTGTGTTTTTCCGCGGCCTCCACCTCCCCCATTTTTTGAAGCCGTTGCTTTGCCAGCAGGACCAGAAGCATTGCGACCGGAAGTCCTGGCGAAGGAGCGGCCGACGGTTTTAACAGCAGCTTGCTCAGCATCGACCTTCTTGGGGTGAGTAATCTTCTTAGGAGTATTCTGCTTCGGCTGCTTGGTGTCGTTAGAGCCAGAACTGGAACTGCGGGGACCCTTCCCATTCATGGGAGTAGAAGATCTCTTTCCCTTAGAACCAGCAGTCCTGATATTGACGCCAAATTTGTTAGTCAAAGCTTTGGAATGAACACGAGTCTTAACCTTGTTGTTGCTGTTGCCCTTAATGCCGTTGCCGTTCACCCTCTTAACCGGAGTCTTAGAGGAGGAGGACTGCTTCAGGATTTTCTCTGCTTCTTGACGAGCGATTTCCCTAACGGTAGGGTCAACAGGTAGACTTTCTGCTTCGGCGACTGCAGCTGCTTTCTTAGCATTAATGTCGTCGTTTTTCTGCTTCAGGAGGATTTCAGCCATGTTAGTCTCCATATAAACAACAGAAACTGCATGCTTAAACTCCAGCAACACCCTGTTCTTGAAGAAATCCAAGCTTTCAATCAGCTTCGGATTAATCAATTCGAGGTCGGACTTCTTGTTAAGATCGATGAAATTGTCGATGTGATGTTGCAGAGACAGATTGACGGCACAAGCGTCGCTCAAAGCCTTATTCATGGCTTTCTTCTTCATGGAGATCATAATGTCTTGAGCATTTTGGCAATAAGCCAAACAAGCCGCTTCCAGATTCTTATCTGCTTCCTGACGAAGATCTTCAGTAGTGCAGATGAAGTTAAACGGCTTGATCCGGATGGAATGGGGAATGATCCCATTCTTTTTCGGCTCCTCCATGAAGTTAGATTGCTGACGCTGAGTCCGGTACTTGGAAAAATGCTTCTTAAAATCAGCAGTAGCATGTTGCTTAAGCGTATTCAGATAAGTCGGAGTAGTCTGATTTTCCAAAAAAGAGGTATTAAATTCTCCGAAGAAATCAAGAGCATCAGACATAACGGTGTCGTTGACGTCTTGAACATTGTGCACCGCTTCCTGTCCAGGAACCGTAGCCTTGTTTGGAATTTTAAGTGGCATGATGAATGAAGAACACGTTTTGGCTTGTTTGGACCAAGAAAATGCGTCCAGTGTGCATGTGTGGGCGGGTGTCAATGTGATGTGTGCGTGCGTACATGTGTACATACCATGTTGTGTGCGTGCGTACATGTGCACATACCCGTGTTGTGTGCGTGCGTACAAGTGTACCTACCCGTGATGTGTGCGTGCGTACATGTGTACATACCAGCGTTCGCGCCAAGAGCATCCATGTTATAAGGAAGAAGCACTGATGCAAACTTATACACCACGACCTCGCTTTCCGGAACATCCAGCGCCATGTTTTCAGCACCCAATAACGTGTATTCAAACGGGCTCCCATCGGCCATCACATTGTTCATGTATTTTGGCAGAGGCGAGCTGGGCTGCTGCTGAGGAGACGCGCCAGAAATATTCCAACGGGATTTATCTGGACTGTGAAAATAGCTGGAATCAACGCCTTCAATCACAGTGTAACTCATCCACAGCGGCTGCCCCTGCATAGTGGGAAGCTCCCATGGTCCGCCGGATGAGTACTGCCAGAAGGATAGGGGAGGGATGAGAGAGTGATGAGGACGGAGACAGAGACAGGAGGAGGGATGGCAAGCTAGTTGAGTATCGGAAAAGAATTCCCCCCATACCGTGCGATGTGGCGTGACTGGAATTCTGAAACGAGAACGCGGAAGAAACACGATCAAGTTTCCTCCTGACGTTTCTCAAAATCTCATCACTCCCTCTCTCCCTCTCTCCCTCCCTCCCACTTTCCCTCCCTCCCTCTTTCCCTCCCTCCCTCCCACCCTCCCTCCCTCCTTCCCTCCCTCTTTCCCTCCCTCCCTCCCTCCCTCCCTCCCTCCCTCCATCCATCCGTCCCTCCCACCCACCCTCCCTCAGAAAGATTTCTGAGGCGCCTCAGAAGGACTTTTTTTTCGCAAAAAAACGTTTTTTTAGGAGAACTCACTTTGTGCATCGCGATGGAGGGCGAAGGGAACTTTCAGATGCGTGAGAATACAAATATGTCAGTCACTGCGGTCCACTGCGGTCCACTGCGGTCCAGGCATGATGAACTTCAACATACATTTCAGAGGCTCACCTTTAGCATCGCGACAGAGGGCGGAATGTATTCTTTCACGATTTGGAACTTACTACCGCGGCAGCAGGGGAGAAGCTCATTTTATAGGTCCACTGCGGCACTGCCGTTGAGTTGCTGACTTCCAGCATAAGATTGAGCG